TAAGTTAACGTTAACGTTAACGTACGTACGTACGTACCGTACGTACGTCGTACGTACGTACGTACGTACGTACGTAGTACGTAGTAGTAGTAGTAGAGAGAGAGAGAGAGAGAGAGAGAGAGAGAGAGAGTTACAAACCTGTAAGCAGAGTTCGTCAATGGGCATTCGCTTGATTTCAGGAACTTGGTAGTCCAGCAGAGACATTGCGCGGGCTTTCGAATATAGATGGTAACAGAAACCCGGTTGGCAACGGCCTGCACGCCCCCGTCGCTGCTTAGCACTGGCCTTTGAAACCCAAGAAGATTGAAAAGTGGACACATTGTTATAAGGATCATAGCTTTTCTCTTTCATCCGACCACAATCTATAACATATACAATATCATCTATAGTGACTGAGGTCTCCGCAATATTGGTGGAAAGGATAATCTTTCGAATACCATGACGAGGCCTTTTGAATACTTGTTTTTGATCTTCAGATGGAATCAAAGAGTGAAGTGCTAGAATCAAACACTTAGAGGGATCACTGAATATTGGGGAAGAAAGTAATCGTTCTCTAGTCTCATTTATATCTTCCCAACCTGGCAGAAAGACGAGGATGGCTCCCTTGTTGGAATCGCTACAAATTTTTATCAACAATTTCTCAATGAGAACTGTGTCGACATGGTCTGAACTAATAGTTGACTGGTACCTTTCGAGAAGTTGTTTCTCATCTAGGGACTCTGAGATTTCCATATTCATGTGGGCTTTGATGATTTCTACTGACTCTGTCTGGTTTTCTCGCTGAGCCCAGTCCAACGCTGTACTTCCATCTTTTGCTTTTAGATAGCAAGCCACACCAAATGAAAGTAGCAAACAAATATCATCAACTCTGCCTTTTCCAGCACAAATCATCAAAGGGGTCATGCCAGATTCTGAGTGTTGATAATTATAAGTTTCAGGAGTTGGTTGTGTAGAAATCAGTTCCAAAAGGGGATCAAAATCATCACTTGACCATGCCAAGCCAAGTGCTTCATCCAAGGCAACTCTATGTTCGTCGTTCAAATTGGTGAGTTCTTTATTGCCATTGAATATTGCTCCCTCTAGGTGATTATTTGCAGCCGACCTCAAGATACAAAGTACGTCCTCTAAATAGTAACTTTTGACCTGAAACAAGAAAGGATAAGTACAAATATTCAACAAAAGAAAGAAAAAATACAATGGGTCAATCCCGAACTGATGTATGGAAAAATATTACCGGATATGTAAACCCAGGGACTTGAATTATTGGGCAGCCGCCGAAATATTGCGAAAATCGTTCAGCATCAAAAGTGGCACTCATCATTATCTGTTGACTCAACCAAAGAAAGAAATAAAAACAAAATTCAGATTGTCATCATTTATTGACAGAAAATCTTGAAAGAGACAAAAAAAAAAATGCATAATCATTTGCAATCAAGGGAAAGCATCTTGCAACTGAATAAAAGTACAAAATTAGCTTGTCTCTATCCCATGAAATGGAAGTGATGGAGAGAGTGGGACACATCATTGGCAGCATGTCCTGGTTGGGTCGGCCCACTGTTTCTCCATCACCATCAATTTCAAAATGAACGATCATGACCCAATGCGCTATGGTCCCCCATAGTACAATGAACTATATTCAATTTCATTTTAAGGAACACTGGAAGTCAACAAATAGAAGTGAGGAAATCATGAGAACCAGTCGCAGATGAGGGCACAAAGGAAGCATGTCTCTGCATTAAAAAAAAATCACGTCACGCATAATATACAAGACAGAACGCAAAGTAGATAACACTACATCTCAAGTCAATACCTAATAATTGTAAGCATAAAGTCAGCATATCGGTCCCTTTCATGAATTTCATCCTGCAAATGAATGAACCTTGATTAGCCAGGGGACAAAGGGATATTAGAGAATTACATTTTGCAAATGATGTCCAGATACAGAAACGGATACAAACCCGAATACAGCGAACAGGGATATGACTTAGCATTTCTCAAAATCCAGGATACGGATAAGGATGCAAGTATCCTTTCTAACACCTATGGATATATATTATAGCTTGCATGATACAGATGTATTTGCAGCCAAAAAATTGACACAAATATACCATCTTATAATGCATATAATTACAGTTTATCCTTCTCTTATATAATTTTCATTTTATACGTGCAGACCCCAAATAGTTGGGCCAAGGCTCAAATGAGTTGACATTTTATACTTAAAGAATCCTAGCACTATTTAGTACTAGTTTTGATGCCAACAAATGTATAATTTCAAGTGAGTACACCCTAAACTACAGATACTAAAGGATTTGAGCCCCAAGGCAAGAACTCATGGGTTAAATCTAGTACAGAGGGATGGGTAAATGGCAGTTAGATTTATTTAAAGTTGTACTTCAATTATTTGAGTATGTAGTGGTCAATTCTATGCTTATTATAAGACCCCTTTATAAACCCCTTTATAAATGGTCCCACTGCCATGCTACAACACAACTCATCATTTGCTCAATTGAAATCATCCTTTGCCTCCAAACACTTACAGGGCTAGAGATACTTCCAAAACCCAACATCAGGCCAATTGAAGTTGTGAAGAACAATCCCTAATCTCTATACACAATGTTCCAAAAAGCGAACCACCCAGCACCTGGGCGGCTGCCAAGGCAGATCTGGGGGCCAAGGGGCATCGTCCAGGCCTAGGCGCCCAAAAAAAGCGGTGGTTCATGGGCGCCCAGGAAACCGCTTAAGCGGCTGCCCAGGTCCAGAGGCGGAAATTGCTTTCGATGTGGCCATTTTTTGTCCATTGTTTTTATACTAAAGCGCCAAAAATGTGGGTCTTAGATTCATTTGAAACCTAAAACTTATTGGAACCCATTTTAGAGAGAGAGCCTCCAAAAGACTACTTTTTTGGTGATTTCTTTAAAATTGAAGGGTTTCTCAAAGTTATGAGAAATTGATCAAAACATCACCCATTGATATTGGATTTAATTGTTGATGTTTTATAAATCTATTGGGGGGTTTTTTAGAAGATTTTGAGTCCTTAGAAGCAATGTTTTAAAATGCGGCCGCAACATGCGGGATGCGCTCGCATCCGCATCAAAAGAAGACGCATATGCGCTTTTGGCAAATGCGGCCGCATATGCGCCGCATCAGGCCGCATCGTAGCCGCATCCTGCATTGGCCGCATTGCACCGCATCCCACTGCTACAGTGTCCGCCAAAATGTTTTCTGTTTTGCCCCTCAAGGAGGGGTAAAATGGTCTTTTCGACCATCCAAATGTTGGGGGAACTGTTTGGGGGAGGGTATTAGGGGCCCTCAACAAAGATTTTCAGCCACTTTTGTAGCTTTTTTTTGCATCAAATAGAGGTAAAACAAAATTTAGGTGGAAATTTCTTTTTCATCGAAATCTTCGATTTGGCAGTTGTTTGGTACTTTGATGTTCATTGGATGCCTTTGCTTGTTGATTTGGAGATGTTAGGGTGAATTTGTAATAAAAAATCGGGGGTTTCAGAGGTCGTGAAGAAATCGAGCAGTGCTTCACAGAGTCGGTAAATTTTTTTCTTTCTTGTACAATATTACTACTATACATATTTTTGGGGCAATATCATCTTCCCAATCTTCTAGTAATAAGGATCCGGCGTGGAAATATGCTAAACTAAAAAATCCCAAAGATAGAAATTGTGTGATATGCTTACTCTGTGGAAATACTTATATGGGTGGATAACTGGATACAAAATTTCCGACAGCTAATAGTTGTGAAGTCAATCATTAAACTAAAATACCTATTATCACATATATCACCTTCATATTTTTTCCTATGTATTAACTTATTTTTTTAGATTTTTTAGAATTTTTTTATATTTATTGACCGCATCATCGCGATGCACCCGCATCCGGGCCGCATCCCCCATTTTAAAACACTACTTAAAATCATCTTTGAGGTGGTAGCAGTGTTCGCAAAACCAGCCGATTAGAACCGGAACAGGCCGGTTAGATCGCTACCGGCAGAGTGGCGACTGCGGTTAGGACCGGTTTTGGTGGTCTACTGGTTAGATGGTGAGCTCCGAAAAAATTGGGTACAAACACCGGTCAGTTAGCCCCTGAACCGGCAGTTATTTCGCAAAACCAGCCGGTTTCTGCTAACCAAACCGGTTAGCCTATATAACACCCGAAAATAACGAAAATAACGGTTGAGTAGTAAATAACATTTGTTATTTGACACAGGCCCTGTTATTTTTAACGGAACCCGTGAAAAAGCTTTTGCAGGTTTTTTTTATTCCATTTTTTGGTGTTTTTTTGTTTTTTTTGGTGAATTATGATGTTATACACCAAAACTTTTCTATAAATCATAGATTACTTAATCAAAAATCGAAAAACAAAGAGTTAGTTCTTGGCAGATTGAAATAGGGATTTTTGAAAATTAGAAATTTCAGCCATTTTATCAAATGCAGCTTCAATACCTCATGGATTTTCATAAAAATGGAGGGCTATGATTCATTGTTGAAGCCTAAACGTTTATATATTTTCAATTTTTCCAAAATGATGAAGATTTGAGGTTTTTTTCAGCCCGAAGTACTGTTGCTCGAAGAACTGTTTTTTATCCACACAAATTGATTTCTGATCGATCAATTGATCAATTTTTATCGAATTGATCAATGCAGTTTGATCATCAAGGCTTCATCTATCAAATAAACTAGGTATGTTGATTTATTATTGATTAAATGTTTTTAGATCAATTTTTTTTTGCTGTGTTTTTTTCCTGAAATTTCGTGAAGTGAAAAATTCGCCATTTTTTGAAGAAAAATCTCAATAGTGAATGGATCATCATGATATTTGGGGCATTTAAATCATAATGGAAGTATCTATCATATCCCCATGTCAATTTGTTAAAAAAATAGAAGATTTGGGGCTGATTTGGACTCTAAATTTTCTATGTTCTTGATGGTTTTGGCTCGATTTTAGGGTTTATTAAAAAAAAATTGTTTGTCAATAAAAATAACTTTTTTAAAATGTTGTATACTTTTGGAGAGCTTGTTGGATTTTTTTTTAATGTTATATATTTTTTTATAAAAATTTGTTTTTTGTGATGACTATGAGAAAAAAAATTATTTGCTTTTAATGTTATATATTTTTGGTAAGCTTATTGGATTGTTTTTAATGTTATATATTTTTTTACAGAAATATGTTTTTTGTGATGAATATGAGAAAAATATATATATTCTTTATTTTTAATGTTCTATATTTTTTGGTGAGCTTGTTGGATTGTTTTTAACTTCATTAAATGAATTAATGTCACATTATAAATTGTCTTGCGTATCTCCATAGTATTCAAATATTAATTTATATAAAAAGTTGTTTCAATTTTTTTTTTTTGTAAGATAAATGTATGTAATATGATAGTATACACTTAATCTAAGTTTCTCTATTTTTAAAAAATTAATAATAATTTTTTTGGGGGTTCTTGACCCTTTTAAAAAAAAAAATCTACATGACCGGTTAGTCCGGTTAACTGCCCCAGTTAGTCTGGTTCCGGTTCAAACCGCTCCTAGCCCCTTGATTAGTTAACCATTCCGGTTCGATTTTGCGAACACTGGGTGAAAGTTTGGAGATTGAGCAATCAAACTCAAAGTAAGTGATTTTTTTTATCGCTTGTATACATTGCATTATTTTGAGATGTCTTCTTCGGGATCTAATAAGAGTGGTGATCCCGGTTGGAAATATGGTTACAACCCAGATTGTAATGATAAAAATTGCATAAGATGCAATTTTTGTGAGAAGGATACAAAAAGGGGCATAAACCGGTCCAAGAAATATCTTGCCGGTATCAGGGGGGATGTTGCCCAATGTAAAAAGACTCTTGATGTTGTTAACGAGGAAATAACCAATTTTTTTAATATGGTAAAAATGAAAAAAGATGAGAGATTTGCCTCCATAGTAAATATTAAGTCTGGGGTTCGGGTCAATTATGATGATAATGATAGTGATGACGATGGGATTGGGGAGAGATGTCAAGAGGTAGAAGTAAAACAGTCCATTATTAGAGGAAAGGGAAAGGGAGTTGTAATTGCTTCTGGTTCTAGTTCTAAGAGTAAGAAGCCTCAGGTTAGAGGCCCTATGGATAGTCTTTTGCCTCAGCTTGACTTTGCGGTTGCAGAAGATAAAACAAAGAAGAAAACCACCATTGAAAACAGAACAAAGAAAGAACAGAGAGATAGAGCTGCTTATTATCTTGCTACATGATTTTATGAGGTGAGCATTCCTTTCAATACCGCTTGCTTAAGCAGCTTCTATGTTGCATTAGAGGGAATTGGCCAATTTGGGCCTGGGATGAAACGCCAAACCCCATATGAGCTTTCAGAAACTCTTTTGAAAAAGGCGGTAAGTGTCATGAAAGAAGCTGTAAAAGTTAAAAAAGATGCATGGGCTCAGTATGAGGTTTCTATTATGACTGATGCTTAGAGTGATAGGAAGAGAAGAAGTCAGATGAATTTGCTTGTGAATTGTCCTTTAGGAACTGTTTTTTTTAGGTCTATTGATGCTGTCACAAATTTCATTTATGACCACCATCCTACCCTCAGCATGATGTGTAGATTACAAAAAAGAAAGAGATTGTGAGGCCTGAGGTCACAAGATTTGCGACCTAGTACTTATGCCTAGATAACATACATTCGAGGAAGGTGCAATTGAGGAAGATGTTTACCTCGGATGATTGGAGAGCATGCAAGTTGTCCAAGGATCAGGTAGAGAAGAAGGTGAGAGATATTATCCTTTCTAAGGGTTTTTTGCGAGGGGTGAAAGGCGCTCTTAAGGTGTTTTTTCCTCTTGTCAAAGTCCTTCGCATGGTTGATAGTGACAAAGCTTCTATGGGCTATATATATGAGGCTATGGAGAAATGCAAAAGAGAGATAGCCCAAAATTTTGATGATGATGATGAGAATTGCTACAAGCCTGTTTAGGAGATTATTTATGAGAAGTGGGTTAGACAGCTACATCAGCCATTGCATGCAGCTGGTTATTATTTGAACCTAGCTTTTTTTTATGTTGACAAGGATATACACACAAATGACACAATTATGACTAGATTTAATAAGTGTATAGATGTGCTAGTCCCTGATCCTGATATCCAGGGTATTATATGCATTGATGAGCTGATAAATTCAAGTGC